TCCCAATTAAGTAATATTCCCTATTAAGTGAAAATAGTGAAATGTGGTTTAACATCTTTGGACTAAGTCTGACAGACATAAGTGTGATCTTACACCTCTTTGACATTGAAATTAAATAAGAGCCCCAGCCAACCCATTGAGTTCCTGAAAGGGTTCTTGATTTCTAATTAAATATGGGATCCAAAGTCAGACATAAGTGCGATCTCAAACATGTTAGAAATCGAGAATATTTAAAATCTAAAGCAAGTGAATTAAGAGACCAAGCCAACTCATCCATTGAGTCAAAGATACACAATATAAAATATTCATAACTTATCGATATGAAAATTATATTTCAATGAAAACACAATAGTAACGATTTCATATTATTCACAAGTCAATGAAGTACATCGTTGTTACACCATACTGTATTACATTATTATTTTTAAATAGAAAAAGCTGTGGCCAACTCCCTTATCATTTTTTTTTCATCTAGTGCAATATGCTGAAAAATATGGAACAGCTGTGAGTCGACTGACGAAGTAACATCTAGTTTCCAATAATTGTAGAGCAACTAGTTCTCACCTGTCGGGCAAAACATGAGTTGTATGCACTTAAAATACCTTGAATAATACTCGGGAGACAGCCCGCAACCTTTAACTGCACCGAAATCACCCTTCACAACTCTGCGAAATATTCCTAAATTAACACCAATTGTTGTCTTCGTCCATGTTTCCACCAACCAACCAAACACATCCAAATTCTTTACTCCTGCACATTGCATCAGATGTTTCTATTGTTTATTCGTTTCTGCGACGACAGACAAGAAAATCAAAGAGAGAAAAAGATGGCAAACATCTTTCAATTGAACATTTTGAAATCATTGCACTGCAAAATATTTTGACACGAAGTGTGACACTGATCTTTAGAAAGTAATCATATGGTCCACAGATTTACATATGTTTGGGAACAGGGTCAACTTTGCATCGCTCCAAACAGTAAATTCGTAATCAGAACAAGTATTCATCTGTATGACCAATCCTGTTATAAAGATCCAGATTTAGAAAACCTACATGCAGAAGTTATCACCAGAATATTTGTACACCGAGTTATAAATTAAATCTTGTCGACAGAGCAAATTTTGCATTGCTCCAAACTGTAAATTTGTAATCAGAACCGTTTGACCATCGTTTTCCATATCAAAATTTAGAAATAAAACTACATGAAGAAGTTACCTAGGGCATCCACCAGAAATATCAGTACACAGGGTTACGAATTATATACATTGAGTAGGGCAGACAAACCTTCAGCTTATCATAAGGTCAAGATGTAAAATAAAAGGAGGGTTGGGGACTGGGAGGAGTTGGGATATCAGTACGCATAACTCAGATCCTCAAATCTTATGGTTTTACCTGACGATGAGTACCGGACATTTTGAACTTTGTGCAGGATATGTAGTAGAAATATCATTAAAAACACAGAAGAAAGACAAAATGTGCCGGACAAAATTGCCTGTACCAGAGGAATTGTACTTGACATTGTCTGTAACAGATGCCCGATTTCCTGGCTTCCCTATAGCTTATAATATCTCAGTCTTGTGGATTTCTAGTTGACTGTTATATCTTGTCTAGTATACCTTATAAGACAAGCATCAGACAAATCTTCTTTTTTTAATTTAAAGTTTCAAAGCTTTAACTACCATAATAGGACTAGAGTGGCAATTTTATTACGGCAATTTTATTACGGTTAATTCACTACTTGAAGTAGAAACTGCGTCATCAAGTAATGAAGCAGCTGAGATATGTTTTCGGTGAGATAAATCTTGAGTACCGTTAACCTGGTATTTAATCAAACTCAATGGTTAATGTATCTCGAACAGGTGTATCAAATACACCCTCCATATTTAATATTTCACAAAATAACATTACTCTGGTAACACCTAGAAGGCAGTAGGCAAGAAGAAATTATGAGTTTTGTGAGAGAGAGAGAGAGCGAGAGAGAGAGAGAGTTTAATGTCCACAATAATACAAGCTGGCAGAAATTGATTTCAATATTTCACTCAATATTTTGCTTGTTGGACTCTTTAACAGTGGGAAGAACCTGGAGGACTTGGAGAAAATCCAAGAGGTTAGGTATGTCACGGACATTTTCAGGCACAAATTAAGGCTGTCAGATGCAATCCCTCTCATTTTATTTGGCACTGATTGGTCTTTTTTTATATTTTGATTGATTTTATTAATACATATTCATAACAAAGTTCGAAATGTCAAGTATAGTTCAGGTAGGCCTACAACTAAAGTCATTATTTCCAGGCATGGGCACATGCTTCATCCAAACTCAGTGAAAATCTTCTGACATTCAAGAGGTTCATGGTATAAGTACTTATATTCCCCTCCAATGATAACAAAAGTGCCACAACAATAGTGCTGGATAACCTCTACTAAACATTATCACTAAATGTCTATATCAATTACTATACTGGATGATAAAAAAACTACATCTGTTTGGTACTATCTTGGTCGTATATTATTTTAAACAGGGGTTTTGGTGACTGATATCTTAGAAGGAGGCACTAAGAGTGACTCCCTAATCGCAATGCCCGCTACACCTACTTTCAAATAATCTTATCATGAGTCTCGTGTTTCCATAAATATGGCTATCTCGGTTGTAAATATTTACAGTAATTTATTTGGTAATGGAGATACCGAATTGATAGTTTTGGCCTGATAATCACTTGTTTTTATATTTCCTTAACATTTATTAGGGGTGTTGATCCCCATTGTATGTTAATAAAAAAAGTGCTGCATCTTAATGTCACCGATCCTCAACAACCACGGTGGTCGTTGGTTGGTAGGTATAATGTCATCTGCTTCCACTAATAGGGTGATATCACAGACAAATCCATGGTGATCTTCTTTCTTCTACTTAAAATGGATAGAGCCAACCAAGGCATGGCACAATGCATATGCGTAAAGAAAATTATTAATTGTGTGACATTCTTGGCTCAATAGCAAGTGGTATAGGGTGTTCTAGAAGGGTTATTCATACCCTACCTTGTACATGGCACCTTTGTCTTTAGCTAAGTTGGCGCAGGAAACTAAGATGTTAAACCTCATTTCATTTCTAGCTAGTTGAGGATCACAATTTAAGACACTGACTGGACTGCACCATTGGACTGATTTGATTCTATTAATGGTGAGTGAAATCATCCATATAGTCCAGCATAATTTTTGTATTAGCAGACAGCCACACAGGGTATAATTACACACTATTTATGATCGGTCAGTATCAGTAGATATGAACGTCCAGCTGTTTTTAAAGATACTGTACAGACAAGACTAGTCATAAAAGTCTGCTTGGTGAAGATATACGCCCATGATGGTTGATGGGGGAACTAGAGAAATTAGCAAGATGGTCAGGTTTTAAATGAAGATGAATGAGAATGTAATAATAATTATATATCTAATTTGAAAATGCATGAAGAACATCACCAATTCTAGACAATCGAAGTATATAATTTCATATATCTATCTTGAAACTGCCAAAATCAGACAATCATAAACAGCGATCCTGCCCGTGAAAGTTTCAGGGGGGGGGGGGGTTGCAGGAGGTGCAGAGTATATAAATTTAAAATTTAATTGAATCAAGAGAACAGGGTTTAATGTCTTGTCAACACAATAGGCTTGTTTCTTTGAGACATATTAAGTTGGTTTTTAAATTTCTATTTCTTGGGTTATATGTGAAATGTGATTTTGTCCAGACTGTGGCATTATCAGTAATATGACCCACTCTTCTTCAATGGGTGGACCTTAGTTTTTGATCTCATCTGAAGGACTATGCATACTATCAACCACGTCAGTGCCAGACACGATGTTGAAAGCATTCAATTTTATAAGAAAGCAAATGCCACTGATGCAAAACATTTTTCTTCAATTAATAAAATGTCAAATATTCCTCTACATTTCAATGTTAATATCAACACTTTGCCAGATTGTGATCTGATCCAAAAACAAGCCAGTCATCCTTAATCAGTAAGGGATCAGAAATTCTTTTTCTGTAAGATCAACTGGTTAAATCAGTGTCTCCTTGTATAGAATATCGGATTCAACCACAGCTAGAAAGATGAACTAAGACAGGTTAATGGATATAGCATGATTGTGTTGGATGACACCAGAGTAGAATCCAAAGAGAGAGAGAGAGAGAGAGAGAGATGGGTTAACATGGAGAGAGAGAGAGAGAGAGAGAGCAAGAGGGAGAGATGGTATTAAAAAGGTGTTAGTGTGATATTTGATACTTGGTGTGTTACTGGTGATAGATCAGGTTCTACTGATTCATATACAACATTCATCAACTGTCAAAAGTGGGTAAAAGAAACCAATTTAGTTAATTTCTGTTCCCATGTTGCTTGAACCCTTCTATCAGTAGATCTATCCAATAACATTCAGATGAATCATTTATCCTGTATAACACTGTATTAAACTGCTATTTTGTACCCTCTCAAAAAAAAATATGTTTGTATCACACAATTTAGCAGGACTCCTGAAATCTGTTTTTGTGGTATTTATGACCGTTTTTCAAATGGAAATGATTCAAAATAAAATCATACTTTTCTGTGACAAAATAGCTAATTAGTTGAAGATAGGAATATGCCATGCATTGTGCTATGTATGAGGTACATTTTATGGGGAGGTTGGTGCTAGAACCTATTGTTAATTCGCTTTCAAACAGTCAAGGGATCCTTTAACGGTTTTTGAAAGGTATAAATATCTGTGTCCTGTGTCTTCTATCATCAGTGGTGTCTATTTTACCAACTCTAATGTTTTGGCATTCAATCAACTGGCAAACAAATATGGCAGTTGTGGGTATTGAGGACCAGGCACAATACATTTTAGTAAGACAAAGAAAATACATTTCATTGTACCTATTGCAGTCATGTGCAGTCAAATAGAATATGTTGTAGTACTTGATAATTATAAAGAAACGATTCAAATTAAATAAAATAATTTTTTTTTTTAACTTACCCGTGCACATGTTGCGGATAAAATGAAGGAGGTGGAGTGGGTGGACGGTTATAACAATAAAAATCCTCCTCTGTCTGCGTTCCTATAGATACTAACGTCGGTGATCTACTTTTCATCTTGTTTTTATTAGCACGACGTAAAACTTCCACTACTATCGGTTCCTGGGCGGAGCGGAAAGCATCAACAGCTTCCTCGTGTGTAGAATTAGACAGATCCTGGCCATTTACCTGAAAACAAAGGAAGAATTCATTCAAATTTTGATAAAAATCAAATCATACTTTGTACAGAGATACCTGTTAAAACATCTGCATTCTGTCAATTTTAGATGGTAAATTATAAATATAGCAGAATATCACCAAATGCAGCAGACTAGATCCACAATAACGCTCACATAAACTTTTGAATATCTGAATTTCAATAGCTTTTCAAGGCTATGCGACGGATTTTTCACTATTTGTTATTTGATGTCAATTAAAAGTAACAGAATTTGATCTGTTGATGGTAAAGTATAAATACACCAGAACATGACCAAATGCAAAATTAGAATTCGAATAGTTCTTCAAGGCTAATCTACATTGTAAATGGTTTTTCATTATTCAATGTCAATTAAATCTATGAAACTTGTCTTCTATAAATTTGTTTACTTTAGTCATTCTATGTAATCAACTAATGTACAAATAGAAACAAACTGATATAACTATGAAGGACTCCTTGACAAGAAGCTGGTTGACCATATGAAACAAACTGATATAACTATGAAACACTCCTTGACAAGAAGGTGGTTGACCGTATGAAACAAACTGATATAACTATGAAACACTCCTTGACAAGAAGGTGGTTGACCGTATGAAACTGACCAATTTCTGTACTGACCATAAAGATCATTTGAATTTCACATGTGACACTGATCTGATCCATATTTTAATGTCCTAAATGAAACTTTCACACATTTGAATCTAGGCTTCTGTCAGTGTGCATTATCAAAGAAAATATGATAAATAATTGAATTGTCTGCCCCCCGTCACTGATCCATATTTAAATGTCCTAAACGATCAGTGAACCTTTCTGATTTGAAGGCTTCCTCCTCCACTGTATATTACCAACGAAAATAGAATACATAATTATCTGATTAGTGTACAGCCCCCACACTTACTATACATCTGATGAGATATCAGTCTACATATTTACAACATCTTTACAAAACTTTACTCATAAATAAATATTGAACATTTGAAATCATTTCAAACAACAGGAATTATCTTACATGAATAACTATAATCTCAAATTCCCTGCCCACGCTTATCTCTCAATCTCAATATAACCCTAACCCGCAACCAATAAGCTAAGACACAGTTCATTTAAGATAGATTAACATTCCTATTTTAAGCAGCTTTTATTCTTAAGTCATATTATATTATATTATATTAGCTCCATGATGCCAGTGAATTAATTGAATATATGGTGATATTAATATCTCCCCGGTAAACGGATATGAGAAGTATTCAGCCGATTATAAGACAGTCCATAAGCTCTAGTATAATTATACCATATATAATTAGTCAATCTTATTTTCTATATTTTATAACACTATCATATCTCGCTGTTGTGACCCTTTTAATCATGTCATCTGCCAAAGTAGCTTTAGCTTCTAAAATCCAAGTCCAAGTTGCTCTATCATTTGAAATAAAGTCCAAGTCTGTCTGTTCGTTTGTGGGGCTTTATGTCTGCTTCCACCTAAAGTGATATCGCTGATAAAAAGGTCTTTAGAGGTGCAGGACAGGGGGCCTGACAAGGAACAGTTGGTATTTTTTTAAGAATCGGAAGTAACCCTGAGATCCCATGCACACATATTCAACAAATAGTAGATAGAAACTATGCTGTCTGGACAAAAAATTCTTCATAGCACACTGCATGGTGTATACCTATCTTCGGTAGTCAAGTTTGTGCAGAAAAGTATGACATGAAACCACATTAAATTCAATACAGATTTCAGGACACAATAATTTCTGTTTTTTACAATATGTACTTCCTTGAATCAGTCTGTTGATCAGTATATACCAGTTAACAGAACAGAACATGAACACTGACATCAGAATATCATCAATATATCTATATAGTCCTACACAATGACAAGCACACTACCTAATTAAATAATTGTTCCAATTCATCTGATCAATAGGGGCAAGTGTAATATAATTACAATGAAATAACATTATAAAATTAAGTTTTAATGATTCTAATACAATTGATAATATCAACATTATCCAGTGGAAACAACTAGAATCAGATCACAACCATACGAGTGAGAGAGAGAGAGAGAGAGAGATTATCCTGCAGAACATAGAGGTCTTGTTACATAAAAGCTAGCATTTATAAATCTTGTCACATAATTTTAAGATCTAAAATGGACACATTAGACCACTCGGCCACTACCCCCCAATTTCTACTACAAACAGTACCGGTACTATTCACACATAAACCATCAGTCTATATGCCAAGATACAAGACTAATCAATTCAAGATACATCCATTTTTCAGAAAAACTTTCCAACTTTACATTCATCGATGGATGACCAAAGGTTGTTTTTTTTAGTGTTGGAAATTCAACTATTTTCCAAAAATATTTTCAATTTTCTTTGCAAATAATCAACAAGTGTGTTTGAGGTTTGGGTAAAAACTTTTGAAGCTGTTCTTTCTTTCCCTAGTATTATAAAGTTGATTAATCCTAATCACTTATTCAATATAAAAACAAAAACTAAAAACAACAGTATGTCCTATACAAAGCTTTGATATTAACATTTCATTTTCTATTCACTTATCCATCTACTATGCTCCACAAACATGACGAGTACATTATAATATAATATGAACAATGTTGCTATATTAAACAATATATTACATTATCTTTATTAGATAATCAGAGAGTCAAGGAATTATCCATCTACTATTTTCCACAAACATGACGAGTACATTATAATATAATATATGAACAATGTTGCTATATTAAAGAATATATTCCATTATCCATATTATTACATAATCAGAGAGTCGAGGAATTTAAATAATTAATATCCCTAATTGCATTGAAAACATATTATGTCAAAGTAAACTTACGTTTCATCCATTTCCTACTCCCTGCGAGTGATTATAAGTACATTATGATATATTGAGTCCAATTTGAACAATGTTGCTATATTAAAGACTGTATCATATTAAACAAGTAAGAGTCTCCCGATCAAATGCCGTTAGAATGAGAAAACAAACGGCTGTTGCCAAGTGCCATACCATGTTTCAAGTCTGTTTTATGACTTATTGATGATTCCTTCCTTTCACCTGCACGTCAATTTCTAATCACACTCATAAATATTTCTCTTTGATGTTTGCCTCGGATCAGAGTTATTTCCACGTGTAAGAGATATCCCCACAGGGAACGACAGCACAAGTATAGCATAATACCATCATAATTCAATCCCGTGTTGTGTTCCTACCCAACAGAACTCTGTACTTAGTTATTGTAACAGTCGTCCTTGATGCCGTCTTTGTTTGCGTATCCAGTCTGCAATCTTCGTCCAATTGTTTTATTTTTATTTCATGTATACCATTAAAAGTCAGTTTACATGGCCCACTTTTCCAGCACATGTAACGAGGGTATTGATTAGTTGGATAAACAAATTGTTGAATTAATCACAAAATAACAATCAACTGTTTCAATGTTCTTGTTTTTTTTACAGCAATTAAGGTAACAATTTTCTCTTTGATCTGCCTATTTCGAAAAAATTAAATAATGTTTGCAATTAATTTTCGTCTTTTTATCTCTAGATGAATCTGTAGAATTACAAACCTTATTATAATATGAGATACAAACACAAGTTTAATTTTGTTCATTTGGTTTAGGTTTTTGTTGAGGCATTAAATTTGACTATATATTTAAACCTATAGCCAATGATAAGGCTACATTCTTAAAAAAAAAACACCCCTAATCCTTATCATGTACCGGTAAAATTGTGGGATGAAACCTGTCTGCAGATCCATGACCTATATACTCCCCATCTCCCTCCAATCCCCTCTTTCTGTGTAAAATAAGAGAAAAAACCCCACAGAAACTTCAGGTCCCCTCAGAATTATCCCCACTCCTTGGCAAAGAAGATTGCGGGATAAAGCTGCAGCTTGCATAATATAGACGAAGGATGAAAGACTTGTAGTGAAACAATGCTTTAGATTCACGCTCTAGAACATTTATCACATCAATGATATGTGCTCTGAACCACAAAATCTATGCACGTGAGATTCTCTCCAAGATTTAATCTATTCACGGTAACCTTCTTTGATGATTTCTCTACTATTATAAAATTTTAATAAAGTTAAGTTTGCTTTAATTCAATTCTCCTCAGAAACTGAAAATCACATTAACTAACGATTCAATTGTTACCTTAGGGGCAATGTGCATTTAATATACTTGTATCAAAAATTGAATTTGAAAAATCTGTAAATAATTTTAAAATCCCATGACTAAATATGTGTTTATTATTGATTTACATTATTTCTTAAATAAAGCTCAAGTGGCCACCTTGTCGACTTTAACAGGTACTTATTATTGAAATACAGAGATAAAATTGAGATTTAAGGTCGGTCCTCCTCATACTATCCAAATAATTTGGGGACTAACATCTGAAATATCTTTTGAAATGAAATTACATATGAAATAGGGTTTAACATCCTACTCGACCACTCAACCCCTCCACATATTCACAAAGAGCTAATGATGATAATCTGATATCAAATTTGTGATCGATAGATAAATCTTTTGAAATTAAATTACGTGAAATAGGGTTTAACGTCCTATTCGACCACCTAAACCCTCCACATATTCAAAAAGAGCTAAAGACGATAATCTGATATCAAATTTGCGATAGCCAGATAAACATTTATCCTTTTATTCAGTTGTTATATTTAGCTTATATAACAAATTAACAATCCATTAACCTTTTGTGAGGACAGACAGTCTTCCGATCTCTAGGTGTAATAACGGTCTCGAAACATCATCTAAATCAAATTAATTGAATCCCTTGAGTCCAACAATTACAGCTTTTTAATCAACAGCAGGCATCAAGCTTCACTGCTAATTACTTTCCTAAAGTTTAAATGTATCTTTGTTTCTTTGTCTTGTTTATCAATTGGGAGGGACCTTGGGTCTCCAGAGGCAAGGAGGGATTAAAGATCCACCTGC